AAAAAAACGGTTTTAACGGGTATAAAACCCTGTGTAAAACACAGTAGAAGAGAAGAAATGTGATTTCGCTTGCGGTGGTATAGAGCTCTTGCTCTCCTTTTTTCTACAATTTTGTTACGTATTTACCCATGGAGTGAGTCTGCTGAAGAAGGAGCTGGAATATTATTTGTATCTGACCATGCTGAGGTTTGTATTGAATTAGTAAGATTGTAAACCGCTAAGTCTATGTCATAGGTTGATTTTAATTTTGTGTTTTATTTAATTTTTGAATTGACTAATTCGAGAAATTTAAAATGATCTGTGAATTTGTTAAATAATTTGTTGGTTTTTTTAATAGATGGGGAAGTGTTGAGAGTTAGGAGTACCGATGAGTAGTCAGAATTTATATCAAGGAAATTTTTTTGGTGTATGGAACATATTATTTGGTATTTTGGATACAAAAATATCAAGAATATCTGGATTTTTACGAGCCGATGAAGGCCAATAGATTGGATCAGGTGGAGCTAAAACTTTATATTTCTTTGTGATTATAAAATTATATAAGGTGACACCTCAAGGGTTATTCACACGGCATTCCCATTAATGATATTTGGCGTTGAAATCGCCGCCTATGATAAAAAAGTTATTAAATGAGTTGAAGTAGTCGGCAAATTGAGTGACGTCGTAGTAACGTCGTGTTTTGGAGGTAAAAATATAGCAGCAATGGTAAATGGTTTATTGTTTATCTTTAGATTAATGGCAGAAGATTGAAAAAAGATTGAGAAAACTAGGTAGGGGAAAAAATTCAATTATGGATTTAACAAAAATAGCAGCACCTCTATGCGCCATGTTGTCGGGGTGATTTGATTTAATTAATTTACAACCAGGGATATGGATATGAGAGTATTGAGTGAAGTGAGTTTCAGAAATGAGGGCAACATTAATGCGTTTGTTGTTTATTACGGATTCTAGTTCAAGCGTATGGTTTTTGAGTCCATTAGCATTGAATTGTAATATTAAGAGCGAGTTGTCGGTGATGGATTTATTATAGTTATTTTTAGCCATTATTTGTCTAGAAGTTTGGAGATTACTTTAGTTAATCGAGATATAAATGGATTATGACATTTTGGAATTATGACATTTTTGAATTCATCTAAAAAGTTAGTCATTAATTTGCTTAAATGAGGAGGCTGATTATCGGTAGTAGGAGGTAGAGCGTCGTGAACTGATGTGTTGGAAATGACCTGAGCGTAAGTTTGCGTTTGAGGAGAGGGTTGATTAGGAAAAGTGTTATCAGGTGGATGGCTACTTTGTACATTTTTAGTTTGGGTATTAAAATTATTATGTATTCGTTTGCTTAGTGTACTGGATATTTTTCGTCGTTGAAGTTCTTTATAAATTGAGCAGCCCTTGTAATTAGCTGGGTGGTTTTAAGAACAATGAGCGCATTTGGAGGAACATCGCGTGGGTTCGGGCAAGTAGTTGATTGATGGTCCACTCCACAGCGAACATATCGGGGATGGTAACCGCAGTTACCAGGGGCAAGTTAGGCCAAGTTAGGCTAACCTAGGGCCAAGCCCATTTACATAAGAGGACCTTATGATAAGCAACAAGAAGGCGGTAAATACAGCCATATACTGGACAAAAGAAAAGATATAATTAGTATGCAATACTTGTTACCATTATATAAGTGTGTTATTATTATTCATATTTTACTTATTTGATATTATTTATTTAGTTTTGTTTTATAAATTACATGTTTGTTTTAAATTTAATTATATGATGCCTGACACGAGAAAAAAAACCGCAGTAGGTCTTAGTGTGTAAATATTGTTGACAATTGAAGCATTGGCTAATTCTTTTCGGTTTCTATGGCTCTTCCATTTTTATTTTACAGTGAAGAAATGATGAAAGTTGAAAATTTTCATTAGATTTCGGCATTGGTTCAAGATCAACGAAAAATAACGGGATGGGATTTTTATTGATCTTGTGTAGCACATTGGAAATTTGCCTAACCTCGTAGAGTCGAACTTTTAACTCGTCTTTTATTAGATTTTATTAAATTTAGATTGGATGGATGAAGATTACGTATTACTATCCAGAGTGGTTTGTTCTCATTGAGCTGATAAGTATGATACTAGGCTTTTTCGGATTTTAGGAAATGAACTAGTGCTCTGTATGCACTAGGGTCCATAGTTTGTATTTTCAAAGAGTTGGTTGCAGATTTACAAATAAAATTGTTAACACCGATTAGCTCAGTTAAGGCCGTACATAGTGCGGGAAAATCTTCGACTCATTTAACAAATATAGGAGGAGGAGGTTTAATGGTTGTATTTTCATTTCCCTTTTTCTCATTTTCGGGATCAAATTGATGAGAGTAGGTAGACATATTTTCAGTAGTAGGCGGGTCAAATGGATCATCTTGGGCAAACAGTTTGAACCTGTTAAGTGTAGCAAAGATTTTCTTTTTATTGTTTTTTTGTTTAATATTTGTATCCGTGTTTGGAGATGAAAGTTTGGACAATGCGTTTGAGGAATTGGAGAGTAGTCGTTTATTTGGATGTGTTTATTTTCCAGTGTTTGAAGTACTAGCATTGTTGCATAAACAGGGCCGAATTTAGACTTTCGGATGCCCTGGTCAAATCGATTTTTCGAGGCCCCTAGCAGTAAGAAATTAACATTATCCATGTAGTAAAGGAAAAATTAAAATTTTTCATATTTGCTAACCTAACATCATAACTGTAAGTTTCCAATTCCAGTTATTACTAGATGGAACTCTAAATATGATGCTACTCAAAAAGTGTTAATACACAAAAAGAAATTGGATATTTTATTTGATGTATTAAAGTTAAATAAGCTCAAACCTAATGAGTGGTTATTTTTGGAAGAAAACTGTCTTTTGTTGAAACCATTATCAAATTCATTGGACAAGTTACAAAGAGAGAAAAATAGTTATTTAGGTTATGTTGCTCCTACATTAATAGTTTTGAGAAAATTGTTAATTCAATCAAGTAATGTAAAATATTGCAAACCATTAGCTTCAGCATTAATAAGTTCTCTAGAAAAAAGATTTAACTACATTTAGGATTTAAGTAATGCAAAAAGCAAAGATTTTATTCTTGCCTCAATAAGTCATCCGAAATTTAAAATGTCCTGGGTTCCAGTAAGATATATAAGTTTATGTAAAGAATTATTTTTGAATGAATGTAATACATTTAAAGATGGAAATTCTGTATCTGAATCTGCATCTGATAATGCAGACAGTGATTCTAGTGATGAATTCTACAGCAATTTATCTGAAAATTTAACTACATCTTTTCATCCGTCCGCAGATGTTGATTCAGCTGAAATAGATACAAGTGTTTCCAATACAGCTGGTGTTGAAGCATTGAAATATCTTAACTCAAAGAAAAAAGAAGTAATGTCACTTAATGATGTTCCAATTGTCAAGCAAATATTTTTTAAGTATAACACCACCTTGCCGTCGTCAGCTCCGGTTGAAAGACTGTTTAGCAAAGCTATACAGATGTTAACTCCCAGACGTAATCGTCTTAGTGATGATGTGTTTGAAATGCTTTTATGTTGCAAGTCTACTGAATGATTTTTTTTTTTT